AAAATGCTTTATATCTAGCATTATAATAGAGATAGCTATTACCCACAAAACTCAAATTTTCACGTATCATCTGAAAGCACAGTTAAAGTCCAAGTATCTGAGAAAAATCGTAGCATGTGAGATCTCCAAAAGAAGAGTAAAGTGCATTTGTAGACAGTTATTCTCTTAGTGACAACTCATTATTGCATACAGTTGTAAGACTTTCACTGTTATTGTAGAAAGTGACGAGTCTTAAGAACTAGACAGCGAATAATCGCTTAAGTTCGGGTGACAAGAAACAACAAGATAGAAAGGTAACTAACCCTTTATTATTCCAATAAGATTTAACAAAACTCCACCTGGGAGTGTACAAACAAAGCCGAGACTTGGGCTTGAACTTAAGAGACTAAAAATTAAACTAAATCTAAGATTAACTAAAGAAATATAGCCGAAGCTATTAAGGTTCAAATCGAGTTGGCCCCTTAACTTATTTGACTACGAAGCTTAGCAAGGGCCTGAGTACGGCCGAGCGTAATAACAGCTTTGAGAGAGAGAGAGTGGCCAAAAAGGCAGACGCGCGTAAATCAGAAACTCTGATTCTCTCTGACTCTGAAAGTAACTTCGTGGTTTAAATACAGCTCCTCCTCGTTAAATATTCATCAAGATCCAAAAAACTACGTTCTGGACGAAAGTTGGAAGTTGAAATTAAGAATTTGACAGGAAAGGAACTTTAAAAATTTAACTGTTAATAAAATTAACATAATCCTTACACAGTAAAGAAAAGTATACCAAAAATAATGTACACCGATACGTTATTACTTATTAGCTAATGAAAACGATATCTTTGTATAAAAGAGTTTCTTTGCATTTCATATATATAATTTGTTTCCTATTTTTCCCTCAAAATTTAAATATTAATTTATGGTGAGAAGAAAGAGCCTATATTTATATGCATATATACATACAACGGCTTCAAAAAATTAAGAGCATGGCCGTAAAATCAACAAAAGTAGAAAAGTTAAAAGCTGATTAATACCAGGTTGCACAAAAAGTAACAAATGTGTTATGTATTAAAGAAAACAAGCACTGTGTACAAAGATGAAAACAATATTTAATTTTCGTAAATTACATGATGGCGTCACATTTCGGCCATTTCCACGGATATAACAATTGTGGAGGTCACTCGTCAATTCTGCTTAACTAGTTGCTAACCCTTGGGCCATCGGACACAGGTCACCGGACAACTGTTTGACTTGCTGCTTCGAATTGTTACCACATCCCCAAGTGATCAACGCCAAAGAAAAGTCATTGACCGCTCAGTATCTTCTACTAGTCTTCTTTTAACCATAGAAAGACGAATATTATAGAAAATTATCCAAGAATGTTATAAACACTTCATATCAACATTTAAATTAACCATTTTAAACCCTTCAGAATGCTGGCATCTTCATCAACTGCCTAATTAGTGCATCAGTCGGATAAACAGTCATTATTGCTTGTAGCATACAATATTTGCATACTGCCATTTGAATTCGCAGAAATTCTGAGCTCCTCAAATTCAATTACTTTTTCAAATATTCCTAATTTGTATTACATGCTTAAATTTTGGAAGCTAGTGTATAATATAATTTTTCTTGCGGGTCGCCCAGACGGTATAGTGGTTAGAGAAGCCTGGCTGCGATACCAAAGGGCCCGGGTCGAATCCTGGAAAAGACATGGATGTAAAATAGTCTGTCCCTTCATAGGGGGTAACGGTGGTTACCTATTAGATGCCTCCACAATAAAATGTCCACCACTTCTGGCCTTAGGAGTGGCCAATACCGTTATAGGCAAGTGCCCACCATTGGGAAAAGAAATTCTTGTGAAATGTAGTCCCTGTTAAGAATTAGTTTTAGGGCTCTCACGATAAGAATCTTAGAACTATAGTTTCAATTTTCATACCTTTTCGTATATCATATATTTTTGTATCTGTAAAATGACGAGAAAAAAAATTAGAGTAAACGATGAAACTATTCGCAGATTCAAAAAAGTTAGAAATATAAGTATCCAAATATGATTGGTTACGGTAAACAAAAGTCATTCAGAATAAAATTATTCATGTATTCTTAAAAGGGGAAAATTTTATTTTGAGAATTAGCTCCTATATTTGAAAAAAAAAACCGAAGTCAAAGGAATGCCATCTCTCAAAAAATTATCGTTAAAGCACATAATTCTATATTTAAATCTAAACTTTCTCCCACATTAACTTCTGAAATACACTCTTTGATTATTATTATTAATTCTCTTTTAAAATAATACCGAATGGGAAAGCATCGCTTCTTCAAAAGTAAAGTTTTCTCATCTTCGAAGACAGCGACAATTCGCATACATGCATTAATGAATTGCTCTTCTATAGATTGTTTCCTGGAATTTCTCTGAATCATTTTTAAGACTAAATTTTCGATGCGACATATTTATATCTCAATAAGCCGCTTAGAAAATCATCAGAGGGAATTCTGTTTCCATCTTACGCCTCCATTTTTCCGCCCCTCAAAGAGCCCCTAAAATGCGGAAGGGTCTGCATTAAGCTCATGATAGAGGAGAGCGGGATTGTGTCTGCTCTTTCAACGAAAGCATAAAGAGCATTTTCAAGCTAAATACGATTTATTCGGTAGCGATGCGGGATTTTAAACCTTTTCATTTTGAAAGTTATGTAAAAATCCATTAGCATGCTCCCTAACCTAATTTTAGAAGTCCCTAATTAAGGAATTTTTTCCTTCTGTTTGAATTTTCGCTAATTACGTCTATTTCGCATATTTTGTAATATCTACTTGTTTATCTTACGGTGTGACAGCTGAAGTACGTGCATGAACCAGACAAGAGAAGGATTAAAAGAACTCTTTGTTAAAACTCTTCAAAATTCACAATGCGTCGACTTGACGCTACGAAATTACGCCTAGCTCGAGCAGTAACTCAGCTAACAAGAACTAAACTAAAAATATGTCAAAGATATCAACAAAACAGTAGAGTTTTCCCCAGGGCTGAGATAATCCTGTTACCTAAAACCGCGTTGAAGTCCCATGGCAGCAAAGTAATAGCTGTTACTCCACTTCAACCAGCAATAAATGCAGAACCAGAAGGCTCAAGCTACCAAGGTGCAGTGCATGCCCACACTCTCTAATTTTCCCTTCTAGAACTCAGTATTCAAACTTTTTCTTCTCAAGGTAGTATTTGCATTTCTTCACGCGCGCTACCAAATTTAAATATTCTGGCATTGACAGTTAGGGGAGTGAAAGCTTTAGGAAAGAATGTGCAACTTAACTGGTTATTCAAAATAAATATAAATCTCTACAATTTATTTAAAGAAAGTTTGTGGCTACATTCCGCTTTCATAGTCGTAAAGATATTATTTTCTTTTAAATAAATATTAGACAATAATATGAAATCACTGATAAGGAGTTAAACATGACCGAAATCCGAGCTATAAATATATTTAATAAAAACGAAGAAAATATCGATGAGGTTTTAATATCATTTCAATCCTAATAATGTGCTGAAAATTATTTTGTATTTCTTAACCCTCTCAGCGTTATGGACGTAAAATTCGTGTAGAAGGGTGTCTTTCGTATTCATTACACATGAAAATTACTGCCAGCTTTTAAGGTGTCCGATTTCGGGTTGGATGTATATTGGAAGAAAACGAATCTAGGTACAAAGTGAGGAAGTTGTTTTTCAATTACTGTCATAAAAATATACCATTTATTCGCGACATTTTGAGGAGCTTTGTCTGAAAATGCTCTTCTGCACTTAAAAGACATAGTGTATGAAAGAAGAGAAATGTACGCACAGTTTTAGTGTTCCTTGATATCAAAAGTGCTTTAGACCACGCCTAGTGGCCTGAAATACTTGCCTTTTTAAGAAAATTGGGTATTCCATGTAATATTTTTGTCCTTATTAAAAATGTCCTGTATGACATATGTGAATTGCTCTTCCTTGGCAATATTTCTTCCTCCCGCACTTGCTCTCAAGGCTCGGTTTTCTGGACCCTTACTGTGGAATTTAATTATGATTTATCTACTCAATAGAACCTCACATTGTCAGAGTTGTAAAACAATTGCTTTTGCTGATAATCTACTAATTCGTTTTCAAAAGAAGTGTCCCAGTACTCTCTTTAATACGGCCCTTAATATAATTTCCGAATGGTCCAGAGAATAGAATCTGGAATTCAATCCTAATAAATCTAAAGTTATGATAATTGAAAGAAAGCAAGTCAAGTATATAAACCAACAATTGTATTTGGATAATAACTTATTGGAAACGGTGAATGAAATTAAATATTTAGGCATTATTCTTGATCATAAGTTTTGCTGAAAAAATTATATTATTTATTTATTCAATAAGTGTGAAAATATACAATCCGGTCTCTTGCAATATTTTGGTTTAAAATCCAATGTTATTGATATGATTTATAAGCAGAGTATAGTCCCCTTTATTTGCTATGCTTCTAGAGTATGAGTAACAACTTTAGAAAAGAGGATTAATTCTCGTATACTTCGTAGAATTCGAAGAAGAATCTTGAGTTGTGCGAGTTGTGCGTAGCTACAAAGCAATTTTCTATGAAGCCAATTCTTTCGCAATTTCGGGGATTCCCCCCCCCCATTGATCTTCATTTTTTAAATGACAAAAAGTTTAAAGACACAATCAGCAAATTTATGTTCGATACCAAGGTTTTGTATTGAGATCTTCCTCACCCTGCCGATCGTTTGCCAATTCAAATTATCCTTTATGACAATTCCGTTGATGATGATTTCCCAGTTGTCTGTTATACAGATGGCAGTAAAGTTAATACTCGAGCTGGATTAGCTTTTTTCCATCATTTCTGAATTGGAATACGAACTCTTTAGAATTTCGAATGAATGCAGTGTTTTCCAAGCCGAATAACTGAGCATTAGTCAGTCAATTCAGTGGATGTTTACAACTATTCGTTAAGTGCTAAATTTCTTATTTGTACTGATTATCTTTCATCTTTATATTCTGTTAAGAATATCTTCTCATTCAATAAATCAATTGTCATTTCTCATGCCATTCTTAAATACCTTAATAACAAAGGTGCTGATGTCATATTTTTTCATGTACGCGACTACACTGATGATCTAGGAAATGAAAGAGCTGATTGGTTGGCAAAACGAGCTACAAATCTTCAAGTTAATACTCCAATGATACTGTCTAAGTCACTCTTCAAGAAAAAAGGTAGGTATGTGCGTGTGTGTGTGTGTTTGATTGTGTGTGTTGTGCTACACAAGTCGATTAACGAAACGTTGGTTCAAAGCATAACTGGCGTGGATATCAACTATTGGCAATTATAATGCAAGGCCGAAGACTGCAAAGCTTATTTTACCTAGCAACCTAGTATCGTAACCTCGAGAGGCAGAACATACTCTGTCTTACAATTTAAAAACCTCACTTTAAATACAGGCGAACTAAATTTGCATTCCGGAAGGAAACGGAAGAGAAAAGTGACAGTAAAGATTCAAAACATAAAATAACTGGTTAATTCTACTTACTAGAACTTCTACTTACTAGAAAACTTACAAATGAAATACCAGATTTTATTTCTAAAGACTCAAATACTAACTCAACAAGCGAAATTATCAAGATCCCATGGCCAAAATCTTCCTTTAAGGAAAAAGTTGAAAAACTGTGAAATAAATTTAGCAGAAAGAATAGGACCACTTTTACAAGGCATATGTCTCCATGAAATAATCCCAAAAGTAAATAAGCTATCAAATTTCAATAAACCATATATCAATTACTATCTAACAGAGCATCGCCCCTTTCTCCCACATTTGTATGCCAGAAAAATTTTGAACATAGATATGTATACTTGTGGAGAAAAAGGCGACCATGATCATCACATATTCAATTCTAATCAACATTAGACATCCATCAACAAATATGCAAAGTAATTCAATGCCTTCAGAACATGGGTACAGATCTATGCCAAGTCACTTAAAAAAATATCAATATAACAAAGCTAATACTTCAAATATGTCAATAATATACAAATTATATACGAATGATTGATATGTATGTGGTAATGCCTTCTACAAAAGACATCTAAGAAACTACTTGAAAGTACAGCACGTTTAATTACATTTAAAGTATTTTTCATTTTTAACGAATAAGTTAGTATAATCTGAATTAACGTTTTCGATACATGTTTATTTACGTCTTCGTCGTCATTCATTTTACTGCATCTAAAGTCCAACTCATCTAGTTGCCAACTGACAAAACGAAAAAAAATTAAAAGAATTATACGATGAGCAATCTGTACGCCATCTGGTATTCAACATTGGCATTGCGTCATTCGGCCCTCTTGCACTCGTCTGGTCCTCCAGGCGACACTGCAAATACAAAGAAAAGACAAAAGCAAAAACAAGAAAGATAATAAAAATAAAAGTTAACTGTTTTTAGAGACCTGATTGTCTTTCAGTTTCAAGAATGAGAAAATGAGCAAACATCGTCTTCAAGCTTCATCTCCCATAGAAACAGTAGTTAACGTCTTTAACCGCAGTTTCTTCGTCTTTAGACATCTTCTCATTCTTCTTCAGGCGTTATTTTTTCGTCGTTAAGCGTCTTTCCTTTCGTCTCAGCTTCATCTGCCATAGAGACAGTAGTTAACGTCTTTAACCGCAGTTTCTTCGTCTTTAGGTATCTTCTCATTCTTCTTCAGGCGTCTTTCCTTTCGTCTAAGTTTCATCTGCCATGGGAACAGTAGTTAACGTCTTTAACCACAGTTTCTTCGTCTTTAGGCATCTTCTCGTTCTTCTTCAGGCGTCTTTCTTTTCGTCTTAAGAGTGTCATTCCCATTTTTGGGAAGGGGGGTTTCGTCTTCATTTCTAACATTATCATCTATTTCATTTTTATCTCTACCATCCTCACTCTTTAAATCACTTTAGTTTCACGTTCATCTAAATTTTAAGCAATTCTAAATTATTCAGATAAGAAACAATTCGGGTTGCATTATTCAGATAAGAAACAATTTAAGTCATCTTGTGTGCCAGAGCTATCAGTACATAAAACATTGGTAATGGAAATGAATTCATAAGCCTGAAAATCGCGTTTGATTTTTTCTAGTTTTTCATCAAGTTCTTTACTATTCTCTGCTAATGAGAAACCACTAAATTGTCTTAATCTTTTTCTATTATTCCCGTCGCCAAACTCGTTAAGTATTATTTTGTGTAATAATTTTATTTTATGTGCTTTCTCACTTTTCACGACATCTTCCATTCCTGGTATATCAATTAGATTCATAGTTAATAAAACTGATAAAATCACTCACTTCATATAATCCACGAGGTTCCTGTCTGGTAACAGAGACAGAACAGAGACAGAATCCGGTAACAGAGACAGAACAAAGTACTTCCATACCTAGTCCAGCAGAAGAGCAGGCAACATTACGATACGTTCGAGTAATAAATCCCACTTCTGAACTTCTGAGAAAAGTTTGTGGTAATACCTTCTACAAAAGACATTTAAGAAACTACTTGAAAAGACAGCACGTTTAATTATATTTAAATATTTACATTTTTAACAAATAGGTTAGTATAAACTGAATTAACTTCTTCGATACATTTTTATTTACGACTTTATCGTCATCATTCTTTTTAGTGCCTCTTGAGTCCAACTCATCTAGTTGCCAACTGACAAAACGAAAAACACATTAAAAGAATTATACGATGAGTAATCTGTACGCCATCTGATATTCAATATTGGCACTACATGTATATAAAATACGAGTTTCAATAATATAATGGGTGCGGCTAGATTCCGATACTCTGATGGAGTTTTCCAATGTGCTCTTGACAGGTCGCGAGGATGACGCCTGGGAATCGTTTGCACACTGGTGTGTGAGGCTTGGCGTTGGGCACTCGTGGGGCCATTAATGGGTGTCGTTTCTCTTAACATTATCAAGATTCAGGGATACCTCAATCTTCAATGGTACCACAGAGACGCTGGCCTAATGTCATGTTATCTTATGCTAAAAGAAATTGCTTCACTCCTGGTAATACAAAAGAAGCTCAAATTGCATTAGAATGGTGAATTTTGCTAAATCTCATCTTAAGCAAAAAGGAGCGTTTTTATGTAAACATTAGCTAATTTGTAGAATATCAGGAACTTCAAAACATTAGCAGTGTCTGTTCAAGCTTCATAAAGAAATTATGGCCCTTGTATGAAATCATGTCCCTTTTTGATAACAAGCTGTGGAACTTCTGTGTGCTCAGGAACTTGCCTAAATAGACAGAGCAAAGAAGTGCGAAATAACTATAATGGTACATAGCTCAGATTAGTGTCAATGATAGTGTTTATAGTTTATTTAAGGGTAGTATTTTTCATCTATGTGAATATACTTGTAAAATAACATTGGAGATATCCTTTCTATATGTATACTCAAATTTACCTCAACTGAAGATGCACAAAGTACGGTAGAGAATAAGACACCGGCTATGATGTCATTGCATCATTTTTTAACTACTATTATCTACTAATAAAAGCTTTCCAGTCAGTTAGCCAAAAGGACAGTAGACATATCACCAATGGTAAACACTGAATGCCCTCTGTATTTCTACCTGATTCTGAACTTGAACCCGCTAATGATATGAAAGTCGTAGTACATCTAGTATAATAATGTCTACAGTACCTATTCTGTTGACGGTTCGAACAGAATTGTCTGTTGGCAGACGAATCTTTTGATCAGTTCTGAATTGAAATTTTTTCGTTCCTTTTTGAAATAGAATCGAAGCTTAAATCCAAAGAATCATGGTGGTAGGTATATCATTTTTCTGTCTTATCAATCGAACTATTAAGCCACAGGTTACACTATTAGTAACCTAGCAACGTCATACAAAATGATGGGAGATTCTGCTGGAAACGTCATTTCTGCTTTCGCAATGCTTCTCATCTTAGCTATTTCTGCTTTTACAACTTCCCTATTTCTGTTTCAGGATCGTTGTGGTTAGGTAACTTTGCCTTCTTGATTGGTATAGCCGTATCTTTAGGCTTGAGTTTGAATCCGGCGAAGGCTTAAATGTTTGACAGTGTATAATAATTTTGTGGCATGTTTACAATTATGAAAAGTCCTCTAGCTCTCTGACAGGCCCAGGTTCCCACTAAGAATGCACAAATTTCCCAAAACTATTTATTTTCCCAAGACTTATTTTCTTGATTATGATATCAAAATGCCACTGGTATTTTATACCTGGATTTATGTACTTTTAATTTATTGCCTTAAGGTCTTTGACATATTTTAATGTGCACATATATATACGTTTTTACATACATCACAAAAAATATTCTAGGCCATATATATACGGCCTTGCCGGTCACAGTTTTAGAAATGTTTCTGGTAGAGGAAAAGAGGTAGAAGACTTTTGGATCCGATCCTCGGGAAGCCTTCAAGACTGGGACGAGATTCAACAAAATCATATTACCAGCTATAAAGTGCCCAAGGCACATCGACAAATTACAAACAATCCTGCTCTGCTTTTCCCTCCCCGATGAAATTCGTGGATTTATTCAGATGCTACAGTCACATCAGATGAATCACAACAACAGATTATCAGTTCGCACCAGACTCGATTCTTCTCATCAAGGCGCATAGAAGCAGAGTTGAAAGAGATGTAGACTGATTATCAAACTAACATGTTGCACAAGTAAAAAGAATAGGATCACTTTCATGGCCTAGAAATATCACCTTTACCACATTTAAAGTACCAAAAGTACCAACCCATATAGTTTGCAAAACCAGTTACAGTTAATTAAAACTTTTATTCACTTAATTATATTTTATAGCTGCTAATAAGATTTCAGATATTATGGCCTACCTATATGGATATTTGTACAACTTTCATTTCTCTTGCGCATAAATGTTAATGTGGTACAATGAGTATCTAACCAGAATAGCAGCAGGATTAGAGATAATACCAGCAGTTAGACATCATACGAGCTTTTTATATGTGTTTATTTCAAATTTTCATCATATTTATTTATAGGGCTAGTGAAAATACTTTCACAATATACTGTTTCTCTCATTTAATCTCTAGAAACCTAAGACATCTATAGTACCGGGTTGTTTCAAAAAGTTTAACTTATAAAATCTAAGTTCCTCATTCTTTTAAAAGCAAATTTTATTGCTTTATAAAATCTACTTTAAAATTCTACTTGAGAGAACACAACTCCTTAATAAGTAG